ACATAAATATATGCATATATACATATATATCGTACTATACACACGCATACATACACAAATAAATGTATATACACATGTACACGCATACACATTTGAGCGTATGTATTGTATTGTTCGTGTGCATGTACGTATGCGCGTGTTCTTTTTGTGATTTCCTCCTTTCTCTCCTTTTTCTCCCTACATCCGTTTCCCTGGCTTTCAATACTGTTCCTCCTCTTGTGGCTGCCACATTTACCTTCTGATTTAAAGGTCTTTCCGCTCTATACATGGTTAGGTAAGACTTCATTGTGATTTATCTCCTCATATGTGATTTTTTATAAGAGCACTTTCCGTTTTCACCTTATGTGTGGATAGAAAGTGCTTCAGAATTTCTCAAACTTTTCACTAATGTAAAAAAAAAACAAGTCTGAATCGAGTTGGAAAAAAGGTCTAACAGTAATAATATTTATTAATATGACAAAGAAAACACAAGAACTTCCACGTTACAATTGCCTAACTGGAATAGGAGACAGAAATATTAAGATACAGGATATGTGGATGATATAAGTTATTATTAAAGAGGATTTCTTTAAAAATGTTGCAGTGGCAGGCATATCCGGCGTATCTTGGCTTGAAAGTCAAGGGCGCTCTTACTCTGCTTCCTAGTGCTTGTTTTCGTTCTAAATCCATCTCAATCGTGTCAACAATGCAGAAGAGTTGCTTTTGGTCAGTTGCTTACCATCTCGTCCTCCATGAGAGAGCGTCTATGCTGCATTAAACGTTGGCGAAGAAGATGTCCACTTGTTGGAGTTTGTATAAACATCTAAACTTGCGTTGATATCACCCGATTTCAATATATCACATGATAGTGAACAAAAGAAGCCGACAAAGGTTTGTAGGTAAACTTTCAACGGCGCATACCGACATATTTAGACCTTTATTGGGAGTGTCAGGCTTTTGAGATGCTCCTTTCAAGCATATTATTTTAGACAGGAGGGCCAGCCAATTGTTTTCAATAAAAACGAACATGTTTTTTTCCCTAGAAAAAGCCCCCGCAAAAATAGGAATATGACATAGCATCACTTTAACTTGGTCTCTACAGTGAATGCCTACCGAAATGAAACTTCAAGTTCTTCTTATATTATGACTTTGCTACAAATTCGAGATGTTACTCCACCAGAAAATTCCTTCATCTATGCAAAGACACATGATTTTCTTCCACACGTATGCCAGCCTGAGCTTCTACGAAAGCAAAAATCGAAAATTTCAAACTAGCATATGCGCTGATTAAAGAATGGTTTTTAGGAATTTATTGCCGAATCTATTGCATCTCCTTGTTGTACCGTTTATCCGTTCTCAAATGGTGGCCTCAGGAAAATGATAAGGATTTTTGTGGCTGTACTTTGACTGCCGTCTTTATTGTGAAAATTTGTTGTAGATAGCGAGAGCATACAATTTTGAAACGCTCATGTGCCTAAAACGCAGCGCTAAGAACCCAATTATGTTCTGGCGCTGGTTCGCAAGTGCTAAAGAAATCGATTATTACTGTGATTTGGAAAATTTCACTGTGATTGCCAGAACCTTGAAGATAAGGATGGTCCGCGCGGAGCTTATAACTCTGGAGGACGTTGCCGAGATTGTGAGAGTTTCGGCGAGTGCCTTGGGTAAGGCAATTTGCAGTTAGTGAATTTCTGAGACAATTTGCAGTCAGCAAGTTTCACTTTCGAGTTGTCGTTTTTGCGGCTACGCGCATCAAAATATCAGAGTTTGCTCTTTACAAAAATTATCGCCAACCTATTAATATTGAGTAATAGAGACATGCCGAGAAGAACTCCCATCTTTTTGCCTTCAAAACTCCGCAGTAATAAGATATCAATGCGCAAAATTGCTTGTTGTTGGCGAGAACGTACAGATTCTATTGTTTTTAGTCCACCAGACAAATTCACTTTTGAAAAGGCATTGATAACATAGGAAGGGGAATTTGCAATAATTCGCAACAGAGTTAGCCTATTTTAGCTCCTTTACATGACGCGAGCAGCAGTCGGAACGGTATAGCCATAACTGTCTTGAAAAGTCTAAAAAGCAGAATTTCTGCCAGCTTATGATTTAGCATTAGCAAACACTGACCACATCAAAATAGTGGGCATTTGCTTGCGTATTCAACTGAGGTCATCGGAAATAAATTTGCTACCAGGTAGTGCGCCACAATGATTTTTGAAATATATTAGAAAGTTATCTTGAGTAAAAATTGCATACCAGCGCAATCCACCACTTTAAGACCTTAGGATGCCACTGGACAGGCAAACGAAACCATTGGCTGACATCCAGCATATTAAATGGTAACGTTGATGAGAGAAAGCTCTCTAAGGTCACTGATATGTGCTCACCAGTATTTAAGGAAGATCAGAGCAATCATTGTCAACTTTAAAGAGCAGAGTCCACCAAATCGAGGGAATCTAATGGGTGCTACAAAGAAGGAGAAGAAGAACCGAGAAAGGAACTTGGTAGAGAAGTGACGAGATGCAAGCTAGGGAAAAGGAACGCATACAAGCAATGGTACACAATTATCTGATAACCAAAAATGCTGCAAA